GCCAACTGAGAAAGTTAATAGCAAAACAGCGACCAGTGGGAAGAATGAGTCTGGAGCCCTGAATTGCCCAGCTCCCTCTGTCAATGAGCTAGCACCCCCTCAGCACCTGCGTTCAAAATTCTCTGGCACCGCCCCTGGTACATCGATGTATTTTTGAAAAGCAAAAATTAAGTTTGTACAACTCTAAACCCAGTCCGCAAGTAAATTAGGTTATTAAATAAAAAACTAGCAACACGAGTTGCGCGGTGTCCCCACCACTTTTCAAAGCAAAGTTACGCCACTGATGATACAGTGATATGATAATGCTTTAAATAATGTTAGGAAATGTAACCTTATTATAAAGTGTATTTTCCCTACATCTGAACAATTTAAAAAGTACCACCTTATTTATTGCTTTATTTTTGTCCTTGTTTTTTTAAAATTAGTATTTATTTTATAGTATTATTAAAATAAATTAAATACAAATCTTTAAATTCTCTTAATTTTCTAAGCAAAACCTTTATAGATATATGCAAGGAAATGCAATTTTATTTGATGAATTAATTGGCATATTATTCTAATTAAATCAATTACGTTTTAATTGATTGTCAGCCCTATATTTTTAATTAACAATGGCTTTACATTCTTCTAGTTTTTTGCTTATATTCCCATTCTTTCATTTCTACGTCGTTCCCTCTCTCTACCTCTCTACTTTTCCTCAGGTGTGACAGTAATGATGAATATGTCTATTGAGACCCATCTTGTTAAAGAAAAGATGGCTTCCAAGGCAGTGGACTTAATGATGTATGGCTTTGTCAGCTATTTGCCTCTGAGGTCTGTGTTAACTAGAGTAGTAACATTCCTCTTCTGTGAAATAACATGTTGGAGCTGAGTGGAGGAGAGAGGACTTGAAAGAGTGAGGGAAAAGAGAGAGGAAATGAATCACGGAGGGAGGTCTGTAGACCGAGAGAAAGAAAGTGAACGTCATCGGATGTGAACAAGACATTATCCGACAGAATTGAGTGGATCTACCTCAGTGTCTGCAATGCAACCGCATGGTTTCTTCTAACGAACGATGACTACAACTGAGCTTTGCAGACGTCTCTGAGGGGACGAGACCGTCGTCTATGGCGTAGTTTAGTTACTGCAGTCCCTAAGCACGTGCAGCCCAATTTGGCTCTGGCTTTCCAGACTTTCCGACAAAGACGGTGACCCGTACCAGTGACCTCCCTGCCCTGCCACCCAGGCCTTCTCCGGATCTCCCATGGGGCCTCAGAGCGCCGTGGCCTGGGCTCATCACCGGGAACTGGGACTCCTGAGGTTGGCTGAGCGGACGACAGGCTCATCGATTAGCTGTCCCTTCAGGGCTGATCTGTGGCTAACAGCCGGCTAGAGCCTCAAAACCACACAAACACACTGTGCTTGCGCTCACCGCCGTGGCTGTTGCCACGATCCCTGTTAACCAAGCTGAGGATATAACCTCAAGCCAGGTGAGCAGATTTATATCCAACCCATGAATAATCATGCCAGATTAATTCTGACTGCGCGGAATGATGGGATACTTTTACAAACGACACAGAGCACGTCTCATGTCCTCTGTAATGTCATGAAAATCTGAAACATACTGTTCAGTCAGTGATTAGCAGTGTTGTTGTTAACTACAACTATTAAAAATGTCTGTGCTTGAATTAAAGCTGAAATAAAATATAAATATTATTAGATAGAAAAACTTTAATTTTATTTGATAGAAAAACTTTAACTTTAATTTGATGCAAAAATGGGTGTCAAATGCTAGTCAAGTCTTTAAAGGCAGGAAAAACCAAACAGTCACAAGCTTCAAAAGTGAGAGATTTCAACAAAGTCATTCATCTAAGTAAAGAAGAGTGACTTGTCCTCTTAAAAGATTCGTTACCATATTATGTGGAAGCTTCTGGTTTTCATATACGTGAGCCAGACATAGTTCAGCACTCTCTTTGTGGAAATCAAGCTAATCACGGGCGGTATTTAATGGTGCTTTTGTGTGGCCTGACTAATGAAACGACTCTGTAGGAGATGATGGCCTTGCTGATGTGTGTGGGGAAAAGGAGGGGTGTCCCAGCTGTATTAAAAGCTTGATTGTAATAATTTAAGCATCAAACGGTTATGTCGGGACATTACTGACCCTCATGGAGAAGCATAATTATACGGTGTGACCTCTACCGACCCGATAGCCTGCTCCCAGCATCAGAATGCCTGTCCCACGTCACTGACGGCGAGGAGAGCGTTTTCTAAGATGGATTAGATGGCTCTTTTAAAGGCCATGGCCTATTTAATATTGTTTGAAGAGGGGAAATGAGAAGGGTGAAAGCAGGGTGGGATGTATATGCAAGTAGAAAGAAGGGAAATAGACGAAAAAAGGGAAAAGCTAAATTCAAGGCAATGGAAGTAACAAAACAACCCTTATTTTAAAAAAAAAAAGGAGGCAGGGCATTCTTATTCTAGTGAGCATTTGCTTGGACAAAAATATTTTAGTGCAGGATGAGTCATCAGTGTTTTTGACTGTAAATGCTACAGTTAATTTTGTTCAAGGTTTTGGTATATATTAGCATACAGACAGCCTGGAAGCTAAGATACATGGAATAAAAGCCATAAAACTCTGTTTTTGATTTCAGGAGGTCATTGAACTATGAAAATTAGTAATTTTACCCCTGATTTATTGATCATTTTCTTTCAAGCACTAAGTGCATAGAACAAAACAAATGGGAAAAATGAAATCAGGCCCAATTGGTTAGTGAAAACAGTAATGTGCAATGTGTTTCTCCTACCATCAAAGGCTCTTGAGACAGTCTTGCTGTTTGTGTTGATGTTTATCAAAGAGCATCACTGGACTGAGGCTGTACTCGGGTAATGCGGTGAGCTGTCACAATGACAGACGCATCATGAAAAGCCCTGCCGCCCTTTTCTCTTTTGGAGGAGTCCATCAAAATTTGCGAGGCTTTCTCGAAAGGCACTGACAGAACAACAAAGTGTCTGAGACGTGTTGGGTGGCGGGTGTCTGTGGAGATAATGTCTCGTCAGCTTGTTGACAAATGAATTTTCTCTTGGTCAAATGGGGGGTATTTGCATATCAGACTGTTGATGCGGTGCTCTCTTGGGTAGTGTTTAGACCATAGGAGATCCGATGCAGGAAGTTCTTTATAATGTATAGATCTATTTGTTGAGTTTAGTCAGGATAAAAACAGCTTTAAGTGGTTTGTATATGTATAGTGGGCCTAATGCGTATTTAGACATTTAAAAGATGCATATATGAATTTCAATGAGTTAGAAAACATATTGGTAAACTTAATTGGTTACTTAATTAGAAATCAAAGTGGCATCAAACAACTGTTGACCTATATTTAATTTTTGATTAAATATATTTATATTTATTGAAATAGAATGCAATTTATTCCTGTGATGGCAAAGCCGAATTTTCAGCATCATTACTCCAGTCTTCAGCGTCACATGATCCTTCAGAAATCATTCTGATATACTGATTTGGTGCGCAAGAAACATTTTGTATTATCAATGTTTAAAACTATTGTGCTACTTAATGTTTTTGTGGAAACCCCGATACAGTTTTTTTCTGGATTTTTTGATGAATAGAAAGTTGAAAAGAAAACAGTATTTATTTGAAATAGAAATCTTTTGCAGCAGTATAAATGTCTTTGCTGTCACTTTTAGAATAAAATATTAATTTCTTTCAAAAAATCTCACTGACCCCAAACTTTGAACAGAATAAACTGGATCTCATTTTATATTTTTTATGTAGTGCAATACATTTTTAAGCATTGCGTAAGCATTCAGCGAATACTTTTTAGGACCGCTGAATGTGAGTTTGTTGCGAAGGACACCTATGTACATCCAACTCTCCGCCAAAACATCCAAAAATGTCAATAAACTGACAGGAAATTCAAGCTTCAGTCTGAGATATGGGCAATTAGCACAAGCTCTGTGCTATAAATCTTGTGGTGAACATCAGTGAAATTGTGATGGTCGAATGAAAGATGCATAGATGCCTGTCAGAGCGTGTAAAGCAGACTGACGCAGATTTTATTAAACAGTTGATCGGCTGGCCTAATGTAAAAAGAAAGATTTGCCTGCCTCTAAATGGGCTGTAATACCGGGTGAGCGGGTGGACCTGTCTGTGACTCTGCTGATGAAGATTAGCTGACTTCTTAGATTAGGTGAGCGTGGTTCGTGCAGTCAAGTGAAGTGGCAAGACAATAACCCGGTGTTAATTGAGCGTAACCAGATCCTGCAATCTGCCCCTCTCATGTGTACTGCTCTCTGGCACCTGTGTGTTTATATGAAGCAGGTATCTAATGAATAGCCCGTGCTGAGGTTTCTTCTTTACTTGGCCACTTTCTAAGACAAATAGCCTCTTCTTCTTAGAGTGAATGAGAACAAATAACACAATTTGCCCAAAGTAATGAAGAAAACCGCAGGCCACAGAATATTTAAGTGTCAAATTGCTGGTTTTGATAGTGAACCACAGAAATAAGCAATTTATTTTGACATGAAAAGGCATTTTAAGACGATTCTTTTTTAACATTAATAGAAACATTTGTGAAAAAACGCAATGTGGTCCTCCCATGACATGAGAGACTGCAACAAAAAGGATATATGCAAATATTCAAGATTAGGGGTGATGGAATGTGAAAAAACCCCATAATAATCTATACTATTCAGAATATAAGTAAATTCAATACAATTAAATGTAGTAGAAAAGTACTTGTTTACTTTTAAAACCTAACATGATCAGCAGTGGTTGTAGTTTAGAGGTTAAACTGTCCGAGGTCATTAGTTTAAACTAGGGCTGTGCGATATGGACAAAAAAAACCTATCGCGATTTCTTTGATCAATTTTGCGATTTCGATTTTAATCACGATTTTGACACACACAGGTATGCCCGCCCGGCCTGTTCTGTTCTCGTGCTCCATTTAGGTGCACTGCATTCTGATTGGTTCGGATAGCGTACTGCGGGAGGTCGGGGGCGCGGAAAATCGTGCTATAAAGCGATTTAGAAATCGTGCAAGCTCAAATCGCGATTTTATGACGATTTCGATTAACCGCACAGCCCTAGTTTAAACCTCAGATCGATTTGATATTGACAGTTATTTTGTTCCTGTTCATCACTGTGTCCTTGAGCAAGGCATGATGCTTGAGGGTGAGATGTACTATAAACCTCTTTGGATACAAGAGTGTCTATTATTTGTGACACAAATGGGCTTGTGGTTCAGAGGTTGTTGGTAACAATCACTAGAAATTGCGAATGATGGTGGTTCAATAGTTGAATATAACTGTGCCAGCAATCTTAAGGTTCTGGTTCAAACCCCTGAAGGGCAATTCATGTGCTGCAGAGTTATCCCCTAAATCACTGTTTTGCCCTTGAGCAATGTACTTCTTGCTCTAGGAAGACTGTACTTGTAGTAAACACACTGATATAATTTGGATAAGAAAACATCTGCCCAAACCGTCTTTCGGTGGTAGGGTGGTGGGCTTAAATCCGAAGGTCATTTTTCAAAACCTAGAAGGCTTGATTCATGAACCGGAGAATTGCTGGAATTTCCTATCGCCATTTTGCCCTTGAGCAAGACACGATATAGGGGTTAATGGGGACCGTCCTTGTAGTAAATGTACTGTGAGATGCTTTGTATTCAAGACAGCCTTTGAGTTTTAAGAGGCTCAGCACATCTGCACAGAGATACATATGTTTAAGTACTTCAAAATGTTGAAAAAACTGAATATGATTTGACTAACCTCTGGTTACACAGCTGGCAGGCGAAGCAATCCAGGTGATAGACGTTCTCCTTGGCTCTCATGACCATCTCAAATGCTGGAATGAGTTTGCTGCAAGCCGCACAGTTCCCAGTCACGCCGAACAACCTGATAGATCGAAAAATATGTGAAGTTTTAGGGTCAGAACCATTGGATAAACCATATCATTAAGATTGAAATGGGACTGTAAGGGTGATTCATGAACAAATGAATCTTGTGAACCAGTTCTTTATAGTGAATCAAAGATAAACAGAACAACAAGTGTAGTTCAATTCACAAGTGACTTTTATGAACCGGTTCTTTTAAGAGAATCAGAAACATACAAAGCAACCAGTTTAGTCTGATTCACAAACAATGTCTCTTATGAACCTGTTCTTTCTAGTAAATCAAAGACATACAAAGCAAACAGTATAGTTGGATACACAAGCAAATGACTCCTATGAACTGGTTCTATTTAGTGAATCAAAAACAGTGTAGTCCAGTTCACACACAAATTACTATTTTGAACCGGTTCTTTCTAGTGAATCAAAAACATACTTATCAACCAGTGTAGTCCAGTTCACAAACAAATTATTTAATGAACTGGTTCTTTTTAGTGAAACAAAAACTTAAAAATAACCAGTGTAGTCTGATTCACAAACAAATTACTCTTATGAGTCTGCCCTTTAATGAATCATCTTTTTCATTCTAATTTATGGGGGTTTATTACACAAGTTTATAATTTTATGTACATTATTATGGTGTTTTACCCAAGACTGATTAACAAAATGAATCAAACTGAACCAAGAGCTTGTGAATAGAATAAAAAAACTATACCGATACCAAGACTCCGCCAATATTTACCATAATGCATTCTTTTACGATATTTAAGGCTCAAAAAGACAAAAACACATTAGACAAAAACACGTAAGTGGAGTGCGATGTGACCATCATGGAGATGTCCAGGCCGGATGAGGTTAGCGATACAGAGCCGCTGCCCAGGGACGAGCCTATTATTTTCCAGCCCGCTCGCAGGACATTACGGAGAGGATTCATTAGGGATTCATGGCTGTTACTCCACCGTGACCTAGACCGAGTAAAGGGGGGAAGGGGGAAAATAAATATCTGATAACGAAATCATATAACAAAATAACCTATTAGGCGGACTTCTTCGGGCACTTTTATCTGTCGTTGTTAAAATGATAAAACTGCATGCCACTCTCCAGCTCTGTAAGAGATCGCAATCTGATAAATGATCTCAGGGCCTGGGATTTGCAGGGTTGTTTATTAACCTTCAGAAACTATGTTTCCCACAGGCAAATAAAAAAGAGCTGAGCAGATATATTGTACTCTCATGAATACCTACAAAATTAAGGGCTACTGTCAACACACCTTGAGTTGATGAAGGATATCTCCAATAGCTTTCCAGGTATGAGGAGAAAGGAAACGAGAGTTCATCCTGTGGATTGGTGCTGATTTAATTAAAGGAATTATACCTTTTTCTTTGAGCTGTCTAAAAATAGACACGTTCGTGATATCACGTCTCCACTATTTTCAGAAAAGTGCATAGCCAGAAGGCCTCAGCATGAAAGAGATGAAATGATGAGGCATATTTTTTCCACTAGCAACTTTATATATTATATAATTATTAGCAAAATTATATATCAAAGATCTAAATGCAAATATAAAAAGGATGATAGATTCACTGTATAACTCGCTTATATAAGGAAAATGATTATGGCGCATGTATTTATTTGCATGTTCTGAAAAGAAAAGAAAAGATGCATTAATGCACACGCCAGATTTCACCTGATGAATGATAGATGATATCCATATGAAAAAATGATGCTTGAAGGTCTTTTTGTCATCATGTTGAATCAAACTAATATTGGGTTTGCCACTCTAGCGAGCTGTGAGCTCAAAATGTCTCGTCTTGTGCAAATGTAAAGTAACCAATACCTTTCCTGGAATTGGACAGTCATGCCTTTTTGCTTTGAGCATTTGAGGACAGAGGTCTGTGCTTCGCAAATACACAAAGCATTGAGTGAAGACAACTGCTCTCACCTGAGAATCTGGCCGTGTATTACATGCACTACACAGGGAAAAGATCTGTTTTTATTTAAAGAACCGACTGTATTTTTTCTGTGGAATGGATTGTGATCCATCAGAAACTAGATATAAGTGGAGTTTCTTGATGTACAATAATGTTCTTTGGGGAATTTGTTTTGCAGCTTCATTCTGACTGCTGTTTTTAGCTATTCCCATGTTTCAAAACTGACAGATTTACTCTTGGTTCACATTTTCACATAGCACATTAATATACTCCTTTATTTTTGAGTTTCGAGTTGAGTTAGATCTTGTGAAAAGGGAGAGTCTTGAGAATTGACTGAAATGGTTTTCAAGCCAGCCTATTTATGCATCTGAACCTGTCTTCGATATATAAACACTGTACATCTTGTATTAAACACTAGATTAAAAATGTTTGATACAAGTTCAGCTCTATTTACAGCTTTTGTGGCATAATGTTGATCAGCAAAGAAAATAATTTTGAGTCATCCTTCAATTATTTTTAATAAAAACAAAATGTGCAGCTTAAATTTTTAAAAGTACTTATTAATTTTTCAGTAAACCAGTTATTATTTGTACATTTTTAATTTTACTTTTTTTTTGTACTTTATATGAATGACCTTAATGTACACTGAAGGTACACTGGATGTATGTATATATGCGTATGTATGTAAGATGTTTTCTAAAAAAAAAAAAAACATCTTTTTAAAAAATACTGCACCAAGGCTACATATATTTATGATCTTTTATTTATGATCAAAAATATAGTAAAAGCAGTAATATTGTGAAATGTTAACTCTTTTCTATTTTATTATATTATAAATTTAATATATTATAAAATATAATATTATTTTATTTATTTATTTGTTTGTTGGAAATGTTCATTTATTTCATTAATTTTCAGCAGCCATTACTCCAGTCTTCACATGAACACATGATTTATTTGTAGAATTATTTGTAGAAACATTAAAATATTATGTTACATTAAAATGTATCTTT